AAGGATCTAAGCCAATATTACCATTCCAGTTACAAAAAACAATGGATCCATGCCTGGACCTAGATACAAATGAAACTAACATCTCTACTCCAATGGCTCAGAAAATTTAAAGGAAAAATACTTTGGCCAGGTATACTAGTATAGACCTGTACCAAACACTCTAGGAAGCTAAAGCAGAAGGATCACAAGTTTGAGCCCAGCATGGGCAATTGAGAAACTTAGTGAGACCCTGTCTCAAAATTAAGTCTCAAAGAGGAGGGGAGGGGCTAGGGATGTAGCTCAGTGCCAAAGGCCCTTTGTTCGATCCCCAGTACTACCACACTACCACCACCTTCCAGAAAAAAGTCTTTCAGAACCTTTCCTACTTAAAAGTTTCTTGATTACACTTAGAAATTTTGCTGAAAGAAAAACACCCACATTGTTTTATTTTTATATAATTTCTCTAATTTTGCAGGAAATATTTCAAGAATCAACTTATTATATTCATCTGTTAACCTAAGATTACTACAGAAATTTACATGCTATGTATATATGTCCTATATAACTTATCCTAAAGACTGAGGAAATGAAACTAAATTTAACAGCTGATAATAAATATGTTCAATCATAAATAAAACACTAAGCAGTACTATACATATCCAAGGAAAGTGTAGTTGGGATATTAATAATTGATCATAGTTATCTCTCCACAAATGCCCAAAAGATACCCCATTGCCAATGACTGAAACCATCCAAGGAAACTCTAGCTTCATCTTTATCTTAAAGGTAAATTAAAATGTCTTGAGAATTTTTTTCCAAAAACTATAATGCAGAAGAGAATGGGTGAGGGTGTAGATATTTGAAATAAGATTACTCATCAGTTGATTATCACTGAAGCTGAGTAGCAGTACAAAAAATGTATTGTACTGTGTATATTTTAATCACTATAATAAATTTAAGTATATTCAAACAAGCAACTAATTCCTAGTTCCCCACAAGACAGGTATTAAAATAAATCTAACCATAATAGGTGAGCAAAGAAAAAGAAGCCATAAAAAAACAGTAACTGAGCAGACTCAATAGCAAGTATTCATTATAAATTACTGTATCACTGTACAAAATAAAGAGGTAAAAAATAATCTTAGTAGTTGCATTTGAACATGTCTTGGGATCTTTGATAATTTATAGTAAACTGCTGCATGATTCATCATGACCAGAAATCCTGCTTCAAAGCATCCAAAGAATCTCTGAAGGGAAAGTACAACCTAATGAGTAACAGCAGATGCTCTGCCCTTCACATAGGCTATCAGAAATCAGGTTAGCTCAGGAAGAATTATGATAATGCTATTAGTAGCTGTTGTGGTGGTAGGTGTCACAGTAGTGATGAAAGTAGTATTAAATGCTATCTCTTAGTAAGCACTTACATATTTTAAGAAACATTTTCCATAACACATTTAATTCTAACAAAACTCTTAAGAGATAGGTACTTTTAATATGCCCATAGGGAGACTGAGATAAATGAAGGTGCCCAACGTTCCATGTCAAATAGGTGACAGAGAGATGTAAACCAAGGCTGTTTGGCTCTACAGGCCTTATTTTTCCTTAATCTCAAGTACCTTGCTTACAGAAGAATTTATAGAAGGCTCTCTCTTCATAACTATTCAGTAAACCCCTTAGATATAATTATTATTCTTGGTGCTAAATGTGTTCTAAATTCCTCTTCAACACTTGGATCCAGAAAACAGAAAGTGCTTCTTCCCTAACCATTCCCCCACCCCGGTGGCAACCTTCTTATCTACAGGGAAAGTCAACAAAAGCTAAGAGGAAAACTAAATAACTGACTCTGCTACTTTTTAAGAGAAAAATCTGAGAGCTGGGGATTTAGCTCAGTGGCACCAAACCTGTCTAGCAAGTGCAAAGTCCTGAGTTTGATTCCCGGTACCAAAAATAATTAAAAGAAAAAAGTCCGCAGGAAAGAGAAATAAAAGTAACACTTAAACTGAGCATTATGGACAACAGATACTAGTAACAATGGCTTTATCTCGATTAGTGATAATTAAAAATCATATTCAAATAATTAGGTAACCACAAACTATATATACAACTACAGCAAAGATTTTTCATGGCTATTTTCAAAAATTGTGAGTGATATGAAGTGGATGCAGACAGCATTAGTAGTGCTGTTAGTGTTAAAATGATGTATCTTTTTGTGTTTTATCAAAATGGCTGGGAATAATTTATTGTATTTGGTGATTAAAAGTTTTACATTCAACAACTGAATAGAGCTAGATAATATTCTTGGTTTTCTGAATGTGAGATTTATTTAAAAGCAATGTAAATCACCCACTACATGCATAAACACGTAGGACAAAGACTAGCATTGCAAAGTATCTAAATTTTTTTTAGAAAACATTACATCAGATAAATATGTTCTGGTTTTTAAAATTCCTACTTTATTAAACTTTTACTATTCAAGACATTTAAAAATAACATCTATTAAATATAAAACACTTTGACAGAAAATAAAATTTATGGATGTTATGATTTCAGATTGACCTGAATGCTTTTTCCCCCCCTTTTTCACATTGAACTACATGTCTGGCCCTTTTAAAGATGTTTTTATTCTGATAGGGTTTTGCTAAGTTTCTAATTTACCCATGCTTGGCTCAAACTTGCAATTCTCCTATTGAGATTACAGGCATGCACCACTTTGCCTGGCTTGAGTATTTTTATTTTATTCAACACTTTTCACTGGGCACAAATTTATACCATGAATAACATAAAATAAATCTGCACATTTATTGACAAATAAGAGTATTGTGTGCACTGCAAATCATCAATTAACTAATGCTCATTGAGAGTCTAAAATTAATATTTATGTTGCCTGCTTTCCCATTACACAAACACCCACAAACACACACAGGAGGGGGAGCAATCTAACCCAAGACAGTATTTAGTAACTAAATCGCATATAAGTGTATAAACCACCCAGTCTCTCATATGGTATTTTTCAGAGAGAACATTCGGAGAAACTAAGACACTGCAAGAACCTCAATAAAATCTTAAGTTCAATTACAACTAAAACATTACTCCACAGCAAAATAGTGTTTATAGCTACAATGACTCACACCCTGCAAAAAAGGGGGGGAGGTTAAATTCAATTGGCCAGTGCAAACAGAAATTAAGCTCCTCTTATATATTCTTCAAGAGTTCCACTTCATAGGTTTTTCATGCTTTTGATGTCTCAAATTTTGTCAATAAAATGGAAAAGCAAATAAGAGAGAGGGTTAAGGGTCTGATGTTTATTCAAATACACTTTTTTAAAAATTTACATTTAGTGTGCAAAATGGCACACTAAAAGTAAAAGACTTATGGGAAAAATAGAAGACTCATGAAGTGGCCCATATAGAAAGAATATAACTCTATCACAGAGGACTGACAAACATTTACCTGGTGGTTGGCAGGTAACTCATCAAGGAGGAGGCTGCCTCAAGGATATAAAGCACATTAATGTTGGCAGGTGCTCTATGGGTGAAGATAAAAGTAAAGTCCCCAGACTAATGGAGCAGGTGGCCATTCATATGCATAGAGCTACCTAAAGGGGAGATAGAGCTCCAGGAAAGAAAACCCAAGTACAAGCATTCCTACTTGGTATACTCAAATACAGTTAGTGTGTTCATGAGGGCAGTGAAGTGGACAAGCTTTGCCTATTTCCCTTCCTGTGACAGTTATACCACCTTCTCCTCTCAATTACTGTGGTTCCCCTTGCCTAGGAAAAACATTCCACATGATACATAGTTTAACACAAGTACTTTTTGTGTTAAACTGGCATATTTATAACATATGAGAAAATCAACATTACAGAAATGAATGGGCTTTAAATAAGTTTGCAAAGTCAAACTAGATTCTTTTTTCTATACCTTTTACTTTTGAACTTTTTTTTTAGTGTTTACTCTTCTTATTTCATACAAGCTGCAAAATTATAACAGGTAGCCATTTATCAAATGAATGATACTATTTCCAATCTATCATTTGACTTTATGAGTTCGTCTTTTATAGTGTTGATGGAGTCATCTTTTGTAGTTCCTGGGACTGACTACTTAAGTTTATGGATTCCACATTCTATTCTGATAGATTTACCCTTAGTTTCTTCAAATATGTTTTATTTTTACATTTAAAGTTTTATTTATCAGAAACTTTAGCATAATTAAATAGAGATCCAGCTGTATAAAAGAAATTTTACTATTTCCATCCATTCTTCCCACTAAATTGAACCACTATCTTTACCATACAAACATCAAACATATTTAAATTGACCTTTTTCTTTGCCACTGAACTAGATAGAGGATATAAGAGAGGTACTTAAAATGCAGAAAACAAAGTAGAAATGCTACATACAGCTTAAGTCACTGCTCAGGGGTATAAGTATAGTAGCTACCTAATACTATATATTTTAGTACCTTACCGTTCTCCTCCTCCTCCTCTCAAAACATCTTTTTCCAAACTTTTATTAAGTATAAACATAAAACATTTATTATTTAAATGGAAGGAAAAATCTTAAAGGAAACAGGAGGAAAACCAAAGTCATCTTTTGGAATGCAGGGCCTACCATTCTATCCCTCCTGATAACAAACCTTTCTGGCTTTGTATTTACCTATGACTTAATAAAATACAGATATTTAAAAGGCTAATAAGACAAGCATAATCTAAGATTAGCAACGTTTTGATCCAAAGAAGCAACAGCTCTGTATATTTGATTTCAAATGTACAATAACTAAATAATTAAATGTTATGCTGTTTCCAATCCCAGAATTCTAGCTGCCTTAACTATAACATCTCTGCTGTGTTACTAAATTTTACCTAGAGACTTAAAAAATATTCTTGTACTAATCAGTAATTAAGCTGTTTCTGATCCTATTAAAGTCATACAAACATAATTCTAAACGAAATTAAAAGACTAAGTTCAGTAAGGCAGTGTAAATAGTAGGCCCTAAAAAGTACACTACATTCCAAGCACTTACTTATTAGGCAATGTATATTATGGGAGTACCGAGAACTGTCCGGGATGGTAAAGCTGCCATCACAGATAGCAACTTGACTTTCACCAAAAGGAAGAGCGAAGAAACAAAGTTTATACAGTAAACATCCTAGGGCCTGTAAAACAGAAGCATGAATATCATCAGAGTGGACAATCAACTACAAAACATAAAAGTTGCTCAAAATAATAAAGCTGAATGGTTATATTTTAAAAATCCAAATATTTCTATGCTAGATCAATCTTTTCACAAATTATTGTTTAAACAATGTTTAATTATGGAAACTACATATTTTCAGTTATATTTCCATGTTTTGATAACACAATTATGACCAAGTAGCTAAACTGCTCTAAATCGGGAGTAACTACAATTAATTAGACATGGCTAGTTCCTCTTGGGGAAAAAAAAATCTCTTGACAAGAAAAAGGTGTATTTGGTACAAAATTAGCATGTATTACACAAAGTAAGCACAAAGCTCTAACAATATTAAAAACAGCATTATTCAGGGTATAATATTTATATTAAATTACATCTTTCCACAGTCCAGGTGACAAAGGAGAGCTGCATGTTAGCCAGTTTTATCTTGCTAATCAAATTTCTAGTAAGTTCTCTTAGCGTAAAGTACAGGTTTCCAGGTAAGTTTAGCAATGCCAATATACTTTTAAAATGTAAATTTAAATATTGTGCTTTGCATAGCAAGAACACAAAAAGTGTCCTGTTTCACACCAATGGAATTTCCTTCTTCATCCACTAATACAGTAAGAATTATACAAGAAACAGGACAGATCAAGTAACCTGAAGGCCATTATCATCTCAGATAACATGAAGGATCTTTTACTGAATTCTCTAATAAAAATCAGTATCTTAGATTACAGGATAAAAATAAACTACAGTGGAAATTTCCTCGGAAAAAAAAATTTTTCCAAAGTTCAAACTGCTAAATGAATAATTTAACCTGAATATTATGATTCTGCAAATCAGAATGCTCTTGAAGCAGGATGAAAAATATAATTCTTGAGCAATTTTAATTAAATATTTTTTCTGGATTCTTGAATTCATAACTAAATTGAAGCACATGTCAGTTTCACCTGAGCTATCAGTAAGACAAGCATAAAGATGGTCATCATAAAATTAAAACTAACTCTTTCAAGAGAATTCCTTTTTAAATGAATCCATGATGGCATTAAAACAGGAGTGGAGCTATGATGTTGTTTGTGTGTTGTTAAAATATTTTTTTCAGGCAATATGAATTTAATCACCAAAAACTTAGGCCAGAAAAGACCCCCACCAGTCATCTCTTCTCATACTTTCATTTTTAAAATTAAGACCTAATTCAGTATCATTTCTATAGTATACATAACCTTCAACTTTACTATAAGCCATCAAATAAGTCAAATATTAATAAGGAAAGCAAATTAGATCTGAATTATATAAGCTGGTGCAGTGTCAAAATTAACTAAATCAGGGCCAGAGATTTAGCTCAGTGGCACCATGTCTGCCTTGCAAGAGCAAGATTCTAAGTTCAATCCCCAGTACTGCGGGGTGGGGGGGGGATAAATTAACTAAATCAAATGTACTTGTGATTTGTTTCAATTACAAATACAGCTTAAAATTCAACTACTGTAAGAATCATGGGTGAAAATGTGTGTATATATGTAAACAGACAAAACTATATTATAAAGATTTTTTATTACTTTGTAAGAAAATTTGTTTCTCAAGATTTTGTTTGGTACTCTAACTACAATAAGAAGGAGCCCATAAGAAAAAAGCTAGGAAGACAATCATTTGGTTTCCCACATCGTGCCTGACTACTTTCTGAACACTATGTTTTAAAAACAAAATTTGACATTTCTTGTAAAGTTGAGAATTACTTCAAAGAATTCCATTCTTCTATCCCTAATATACTGACTAGTGGTAAATATGGCTAAATAATGCTTGAGTTTCACACTTAAAATAGAGTAACCTAAAAATTAAAAAAGATTTTAAATTAAAAATATTAGTTTCCTGATAACTTTATTCAATGCAATAAAATATTTACTTATGAAAAATGTTCTAGAGGTCTATAGAGAAAAAAGATCTGTCCCAAATACATAATACATGTATGTATGTATATATGTGTGTGTGTATACATATATATGTATATATGTGTATGTCTATATATATACATAGACATATATAATATATACATATATGTGTATGTATATATATATATATATACATACACACACACACATATATATATATATATACATACACACATATATATATGTGCCAAAAATCCCAATATACAGTAGTCACTGGTATGTTTAGAGTAATTTTTAAAAGTTTACTCTTGTCAGTTTCATTGTTAAAAAACCCTAAAATAGGCCAGAAAATTGTGCTGTAAGTACTTAAGAGGTATGTCCAGCTTTTCTGAATTGTGATCATTCAAAGACAAAAGGAGGAAACCCTGATATATATAATCTAAACCTTAAAAACTACTGTAACAAACATAACATTATATGGAAGTTCTTTGCTCATTAATATATAAGCTTTCCATTTCAGGATTCAAAAGAAAAAACATTCTAGTACTTTTCCAGAGTAAAAAAAAAAGAGCCCTGTACATTACCATCTCGTTATTAAGAAATGCCTTTTGAAAAGCAGGAAGGAAACAAGTCAACTGAATGCAGATTTTTTTATTTGGTTAGGTAAATTTCAACCTTTCTTGGCCTTACCCAGATATCAGCTTTGGTGGTAATGCTTTTCCCTCCATAAAGGTTGATCATTTCAGGAGCTCTGTATGACAGAGTCGTATACCTGGCAGTAAATGAGTAAAATGGAGTGGAAATATTTAACAATAACAACAGCAAATATCTATATTGTTTCTCTATAAATAATACTAAAAAAACCTTTTAGGTCCAATAACTATATATACACAATACTATTTTATTTTATTTTATGCTCGCTTTGGCAACACATATACTATTTTATTTTATTTTACTACTTGCAATCAAACTCAGGACCTTGCATTTGCCTGGCAGGCACGGTGCCACTGAGCTACATCCCTGGCCCCACAATACCATTTTAAAAGCTCACTGAAAACACAAAAATGATACAAAGTACTATTTATAGGAATTTTTATTTAAAAAGTATAATAGCATCTTCAGTATAAAAAATGTAATTTTATTATTAAAAACCTTAAACAATGACAAGATGTTGGAAATAATTTTTCTTGAATTTATCACAATAATTCAATTTGACTATACTCACCCTATCAAAACATTTTAATCTATTTCAAGTAAAATGTCTACCTTCCCTAAAACAAAGGAGTCTGTTCTTATAAATGCTAATTCCTTACACAGTAGTAAATCACACTACATTTATAACATACAGTTATAAATGATTTTTTATAACTTTTTAAAAAACAATCTAGTTATTATAATTCTACCTGTGCACTGCATACATAAGATTACCTCTAACCCTAACTGCTACCATAAGCTATTTGGAATTAAATGCACTATAAATAGAAGTTCACTAATACAAAAACCTCAAATCCATTACGAACAGAATGTTTTAATTAAGTAGTGCTCCATCTCATGGCAGAAATTATCAAAGTATGGATGGACACAACAAAGATTCATTCTGAGTGTTTATACATATTATTTTACAAGAAGTATCCTGAAATTCAACATGGTACTATCTTTCTCCAAATTAACACGTTGGTTAAACAGCCTGAATGACATGACTACAGAGAAATGACTTACGACATCAGAATATAATGCCAAGTAGCAAGATTTTTGTTCACTACTGTAACACAAGCACCAAGAACAAAGTTGGCTCTGAATAAAGGCTTGTTAATGACTAAATGGTTAGCTCCTCAACTAAGCCACAAAGGACAAGAACTCCAAAATGAGCTCCTGTTCATCACAAAATTTTAATCATCAGCAAAATTCAAATGAATCTTTACTTCAAAATATAACAGCAAGAAATAAATGCCTAGCAAGATAGATAATTGATGGAATTCCACACCAGCCACTAAAAATCTCAACCAAGAAAATATTTTAAGGATACAAATATATCCCAAAAGTCAATTCAACATTTTAATATTCTTGTGTTTTTTAGGACATTTATATATTTACTAACGTATTTGATTTTATGGAGTCTAACAATAATGACAGGCTAAAATTCCTAAGTAGTAATATGCAATCTAGAAATGCACTATATTATACAATATTGGCACTACTTGAACTATTTATAAATACTGCAGTACAAATGATAGCTTGTAGGGCAGTAATGGCAAACCTTTCAGAGATGTCCGTGATGCGGCACAGCACATGTGCCATAAATTCACCACCACTGTTCTAGGTCTTCTTAAGAATTTGTGAGCAACTGATTAAAGGCAATTTAGAAAAGGCAACTACTAAAATTCCTATTCTATTGTGTCATTTTATTAAGGAAATCTAAGACAAGCAGTTTCATTTTCTAGAACTAAAACACAGTAAAGTTAGAAAAAGATCTGCACAGGTACTCTAGCAACCACAAAAAGTACAGGATTGAGAAAACAAATAGCATGCACAATATAACCCACCAGAAAACTTCCCAATACACCAAGATAAAGTATTAGTGAATTAATAATACCATCTTAACATTGATTTTTCATATAGTAGTCAATGCATATATCAATCTTTAACATAAGCACATGATTTCAATTACCTTAATTTTTTCTTTCAAAGTACAAATGGAATAGTGTTATTAAAAACGAAGACATTCAGCTGAACTAAGTTATCATTTAACGTTCTCTGTAAATGATTCAGCTAATCACTACAATTTATTTTACAGGGTTCACAAATTTGTTAACAATATATATGGAAACTCTGCATTATAAAATACATCTCCTAGGGCCGGAAATTTAGCTCAGTGGTTCGAGCACCTGCCTCTCAAGCACAACGACCCAAGTTCGATCCCCGCTACCAAAAATAAACAAACAAACAAACATCTCCTACTGTCTATTCCGTCATAAATTAATCATCAATCATAGCATAGAAACATTCTATAGAAATTTATAAATGGAGTCTCTACCACTTCTACTGCATTAACATAGCTGGTCACAGACTCAACCAAAATGTCCATGAAACATAGTGAAATAAAGATACTTACTTTTTAATTTCTTCTTCTACTACATTAACTCCATCTTTTTGAGGATTAAGAAATTTATTAGTGGCACTGCCAAAGTCACAAAGTACATAATTTCCACTGTCATTCAACAAAATATTTTCTACCTTAAAAAAAGAAAATCAATAATTAGTATTTTCAAGGTGAAAATTATCTTTTTCAATCCTTTCAAAATGGAGAGTCTGGAGTATTATATATGTGTGTGTGTGTGTTTATATATTAGTAAACGTGAGGGTATCCCAAATAATAAGAACAAACTGAAGCAAAAATATACTTTGGTATGTCTACTGCATCTCTGAGAAAGTTGCTTCTCCCACCCCAGGATAATTTATGCAGGGATTGAGAAGCCCTGAATCTTCGCTCGAACTGCCTTCATGAAGTAGAATGAGTGGCAGACAGAATTAAGCTTCTTTCTTATATTAGTAAACGTGAGGGTATCCCAAATAATAAGAACAAACTGAAGCAAAAATATACTTTGGTATGTCTACTGCATCTCTGAGAAAGTTGCTTCTCCCACCCCAGGATAATTTATGCAGGGATTGAGAAGCCCTGAATCTTCGCTCGAACTGCCTTCATGAAGTAGAATGAGTGGCAGACAGAATTAAGCTTCTTTCTTTTACTATTTCTCAATTTTCTTTTCTCATATGTCAAGCTTATCTATAGAAAAACAAGTACTTAGGGGCCGAGGATTTAGCTCAGAGGTTCGGTGGCCTGCCTTGCAAGCGCAAAGACCAGAGTTCAATCCCCAGTACCAAAAAAAAAAAAAAAAAAAAAAAAAAAAAAAAAAAAAAAAAAAAAAAAAAAAAAAAAAAAAAAAAAAAAGATAAAGAAAAACAAGTACTACAAAAAAAAAACAGAAAAGAAAAGAAAAAGAAAGTATCTCTGAGTAATTCCTACAAGTTAGTATCCCTTATCCAAAATGCCGGGGCCAGAGGTCTCTCAGGTCTCTCAGGTCTTCGATTTCTATTTTAGAGTATTTGCAAATAAATGCATAATGAGGTACCTTATAGAACAACTCAGGTCTAAGAACAAAATTCATCTGCTTCATTTATGCTTTATGCATATAGTCTAATGACTTTTATTCAATAATTATAGTGCACTTACACTATGACTTGCAATCTATTATACATGGCCAAATGCAGAATTTTCCACTTGTGGCATTATATCAGCACTAAAACAAATTTGGATTATAGCACATTTCAAACTTTAGGTTTTCTGATTAGGGATGTTCACAGTATTTTATTTAAAACACTACACAGAAATAGAAAAATATGACTTGTCTTAAGAGTTCAGAATTACAGTAACTAAAATAAACAAGTTAAGTTGATTGTTTTTTGAACTCTAGAATGTAGTTAAGTAGCCCAGTTTGCTACTTACTAGCCTGTGTAATCTTGGATAAGTTGTCTAACCACCCTGTAGCTCACAAGTTTTATTATCAATAAAATGGGAAAGATAATATCTCATCTATGGGATTCTTATGAAAATTAGATGTGTTAAAACATGTGTTTGGAACAGTGTCTGGAATACAGTAAGCACCCAAAAAAGATTTTCAACTTATCTCTTATTTTTATGAAACAGTTTGGATGAATAATTCATTTCTTTCCATTCTGTCAAAATACTCATACTAAAGGTTTTTTTATAATCTTCCTTCTATAGTTCATTTTAGTCAACTTTTTAAAAGATTCATAAAGATTCATATAAGAAATCTTCTTAAAACAAATCATATATTTGCATAAATTTACAATGTAAAAAGAATGAAGCATATGAAATGCAGATTATAAAAACTGCATTTTAATGTCTTCTGAATTTTAAATCAAGGAGACTGAGCCGAAAATATCAAGTTTGTATGCAAGAAGTTAATGATCTATAACAAACAGCACAAGAAAATCACAGCAAATTACCAGAGAAAATATAAAAATTGCATATTCAAAAGAATTGATATGAGCTATACGATTTACCAAAACAGAAGTCTGAAGTCATGTATTTCAATACTGCCTTGACTATTACTATAGGTTTCTCTTTGGAGGATGCTTTCATGAGTAACAAACCACATATTAAGAGATATCTTCAGTATGCGCACCCATGTTTATAGCGGCACAGTTTATAATAGCTAAATCTTGGAAACAGCCCATTTGCCCATCCGTTGGAAAATGGATAAAGAAGATGTGGTTTTTCTATAAAATGGAATATTACTCAGCCATAAAGAACGAGAAAACAGATTCATTCATAGGAAAATGGATACATATTGAAGATATACTCGTAAGTAAAATAAATAAGTCACACATGTGTAAATACCGAATAGTTTCCCTGGTGTGAATAATCTGCAACAATACATAAGATTACTGACATTTAGAAATGGGAAGAAAGGTGTAGGGAAGGTGGGATGGGTAGAGGAAGGGTAATAAGGGAAAAGAAAAAAATGTGAGATACTGAAAAGATGAAAATAAAGTGTTTGTAGATGGGGAGGGGAGGAAGGGGTGAAGGGAGGGCAGGGGTAAGGGGAAAAATGAGACTCAAGACTTGTCATGTAGAGGTACAAGATCCCAACAATGAATGTAACTGTACTGTATCCCTAAAACGTACCAATAAACTCAAAGCTGAAAAAAAAAGAGATATCTTCTTCTAAGAACACTTTATAATCACCTTTCATAAACTTTTGTATAATCAGTAAGACTCACTTATTCATTCATTCATTGAACAGTTAATGACACTATGCTATGTACCGGGCACTGTTCTAATTGCTTAGATATAGCACTAAATCAGGAAAAAAATTAAAAATCCCTTCCCTCATAGAATTTATATTCTAATAGGAAAAGGCAGGCAATAAACTACAGGCATAATACAAAGCAAATTATATAACATCTTTGATAATTATTAATGAAAAAACATATGCTCAGAGTGAATATACTAAAGAGGTGAATCTGAACAGACTTGAATGTGAGGAAAGGGTAACTATGGGTATCTTATAAAGTATAAAGCATTTCAGAAGGCAGGTGTGGTGGTGGACTCCTGTAATCTCAGCACTTAGGAGACTAACGCAAGAGAACTGCTGCAAGTTTAAGGCCAGCCTGGCCTACAGTGAGTTCAAGGCCAGTGTAAAATATTTAAAAGACCTATCTTTAAAAAACAAAACAAAACAAACTAATAAAAAAGAAATTCAGGAAGAGTGGCTTGATTTTTGTTTTTCATTTTTTTCTTTATGCTTTTTCCTCTTTTTCAATGCTAAGTTTGACCAAACCCAAGGCCTCATACATGTTAAACAAGCACACTACCACTGAGCCTCACCTCCAACCCAGGAAGAGCGATGTATTTTTCAAATTTTTGTTTTTATGGACATCGAAGAAGATACTCATATTTCTAAATGCTATCTCTAGCAATGATACGAGGAACATTCAATTTCCCTTGGAGCTTTCCTCCACTGCAACATTAAGTATCAAATATAAAGGTTAAGAACCCACAAGAAGATAAAATAAATTGAGTGTAAAATAACTGCTATCAAATCAGAGTAAATCACAGAAAACTATGGTAAATTATAAATAAATGGGAAAAAAGGCTCATTTATACCTTCTTTCAGTAACTCTTAAGAATATCCTGATTGCCCAATAAAGACTCCAAGAAAAGAAGAATGATACCCGGAAAAATAACATGGAGGGGCACTCAACATGTTTCACTGACATTCACACTTTTGTTCAAATGAAACCTTTTAAAGAAGCTTACTATGCAAAATAGAGATGCACAATAAGGCCACCAAATCCACCTCTATACCATGGTAAAAATCCTAAGGGTCAACACAATTTCACATCTATAGCTGGATCAGAACATTACCTCGGGAAATGAAGGAGGAAACAGAAAACCAATCTCAGTGCTAGTAATCACACCTCGTTTAGGGCCAAGGATGTATCTCCACAGTAGTTGCCTAGCACACACAAGGGCCTGGTGTATCACCAGTACTAAAGGAGGAAAAGCTAGTTTAGCTAAAGGCAGCCAAGAACTTTTCAATTCCAAAGCCCACAACAGATCACTTTATTCCTAAGTATTGTGATGTTCTTACCTTCAGATCCCGGTGAATGATTGGGGTCTTACACTGATGCAACCGTGCAACAGCTTCACAGGTATCGCAGAATATCTGTAGCACTTCTGGTTCTGTAAAACCTGTCTGCAGCTTCTTATTCATCTGATTCACCACCTGCCCGGCTAAACAAAAAGTATTTTTGAAAGGATAAATTTTTAATAAATGAAGTCTACCACAAACAAAAAACATTAGAATGCTTTATGGTCTCAGGTAACGAGAAATTGGCTTTTTCATAGTTTTCACGTAAAGAAGCTTTACAAGGATTCAAGATACACATTTTTCATCAGGCTGGCCTTGTACTCACTACGTAGCCCAGAGTAAAAGTCACAGTGATCCTCCTGCCTCAGTCTCCAGTGCTGAGATTACAGGTGCGTCACACCACAAACAGCTCAATATTGGCCATTTTTAAGTTTCTGACATTTCATTTTTTCTTACAATTGATGGTATGTTATATGTAAAGCAACAGTTGTTCAACACTGTACTGTTTATTGGGTAAACAGCGGTGAACAAAATAAGGTTTTTATTTTCATGGAATTTACAGTTTAAAGGTAAGAAGGATCATACAAACACATTATCATAATTATAATAACAATATCAAGAGAACTTAATATAGAACATATGAATTAAACTGGTGAGGAAGAGTGCACAGGAAAATATGTCAGATCAGGCTTGACTTTGTAAATATTATTTACATTGAGACTGAAAGATAATTAGGAATTGATGTGGAAGAACTTTGGAAGCACACTATGCTAGTGATAGTAGTATGTACAAACATCTGTGGTTTAGGAGAGTGTGATGCCTATGTTTAACTTTTAAAAAGCCAAATGCTGACATGATCTAGGAAGCAGACAAAATGAGGTGAGATGAAATTGATAAGGTAGATGGGGATTAGCCATGTTTTGGCAAGGAGTTCATATTCACAATAAAGAACTCCAAAAACTCAATACTAAACAAACAAAAGAGTACCTGATTTTAAAATGGTAATAGATAAAAAGACATTTTTCAAAAGAAGACAGCCAAATGGGCAACAGGTACATGAAAATATGTGCAATATGACTAAAATGCAAATCAAACCTACAATGAGATTATCACTGCACTCTAGTAAGAAAGGCTATCATCAGAAGGACAAAAAGGACAAGTGTTGGTGAGGATGTGGAGAAAAAGGAGAACTTTCTCACTGTTGGTGGGAATATACCTAATTATGGCCACTATGGAGGTTTTTCAAAAAAGTTAAAATAGCACTATCAGCCTGACATAGTGGCACATACTGAAAAATCCTGAAAACTTGGGAGGATGAAAGCAGGAAAATGACAAGTTTATGGCCAGCCTGGGCAACTTAGAGGCCCTGTCTTCAAATAAGAGATTGAGGATGTAGCTCAGTAATAGAATGCCCAAATATCACCTGTATCACCAAATGAATGAATGAATCAGTGAATGAAAAGGCTAGTGTAGCTCAGCCATCCCCGTATTTAATCACCACCACAAAATAAAAAATAAAAATAAATAAAACTACATCATCCAGCAATCCCATTCCTAGGTACAGATTCAAAATAAATGAAATCAGTCACGTCAAAGAGACATGTGCCTCTGTTTATTGTACCACTATTCACAATGGCCAAGTCTTGGGAAAAACGTAAGTGTCCATCAACTGATAATGGGTAAAGAAAATGTGGTATATGTACACAATGGAATACCATTCAGTCACACAGAATGGAATCCCATCATTAGTCACAACATGGAGGGAACTGGAGATCATTATGTTAAGTGAAATAAGCCAGGTCTAGAAAGACAAGCACCAAATTACCTCATTCAGGTGAAATCTAAAAAAAGCTGATCTCATGGAAGATGACAACAGAATGGTGTTAATCAGAGGCTGGAAAGAATATGGGGAAGGGTAGGTAAGACGGCTTAATGCATGCTCAGCTGCAGTTAGATAAAAGGACAAGGTGGAGGCATGCTATTCCACAGCAGGGCGACTATAGATGGTCACCTATTATATGTACAAAAAGCTAGAAGGATTTGGATGTTATCACCTTAAGAAAGTAATGAATGACTGAGAAGACAGATAAGTGAAACATGATTACACAACATATATCAAACATTACATAGAACCCCACTAATATGTACAATTTTTGTTTGTATTAGTTTTTAAAAATTTAATTAAAAAGTTACAAGAAGTCAAGAGCTATTAGTGAACACTAATCCAACGAATGACACCATATATGCTGGATTTTAGGAAAATGATAGAGTTAAAAAAAATCAGTATCTCTTCTAAAAATAATTATAGTGCTTTATAATAGAGAAGATGAGGTATAAAAAGAAATATTTAACTTTTCATATAGTATATGGAAATAAGTTATGAATATATCACAATAAACATAAGATTGACATTTTTCTTCATCCTTTCCTCTTGACAAGACTGGTATGACAACACAATATTCTCTCTACCACTACTACCATTGTCATTATCTTCCTCTAACCTCAGGAAACTGTAAGAACTCCTGAAATTGTAACTAATGATCAACACAGATTGATTTTTAAAATAAGTAAGCTTGTAGAAAATTGGTTCACTGTCCCATTCTGACACATTAAATTTTAAGTGTCAGGGATGACTTTTATGATGTATAAGCATGCCATACAAGTAAGTATTTTTCTTCAAATAGCACCTTAGATCCAAATAAATTTTTCTCTTGTGATATTTATAAATGAATCTCAATAGACTACATAATACAAGTTTATTAGCACTATAGATCAAAATTTGTGAAATGAATGAATGAATGAAAAGGCTAGTGTAGCTCAGCCATCCCTGGATTTAATCCACACCACAAAGAAATAAAAAATAAAAATAAATAAAACTACATCATCCAGCAATCCCATTCCTAGTTAAGATTCAAAATAAATGAAATCATTCATTCATTCATTTCAGCATCTCTGAGTTTGTGAAATTGAATACATTTATAATAAAATGATATATTGCTTGAAAATTCTTAAAACATGAATACTGACACATCAGGCTCTTCTTGGTGAGATTATACAAGAATCAAATATAGAATGGAAATGAAGCTCAGTGGCAAAGCACTTGCACAGCATGCAAAAGGCCATTTGACACTCTGCACCACAAAAACAAACCAAAAAAGCAAAAATTATAGAGAAAGCAAGAAATGTAACTTATCTGTTTAGATTTCCTGTTTTCAACCTAACAGCACTGTGTTAATTTTCCATTTACATATTCATATCATTATAGTAGCCACTATGTCTAGGTTTTAAATAATTTTTAAACACTACTCCTAATTAAATAATAAAACTGAAATTGCAGTAATAATCACCCAAAATAAGGCTAACAGCTGCCCTAGGAGAAACCAAGACACCTAGTAACCTATTTTAAGAGGACGTTTTTAGTATAATACAATTACGGACAGGTACTTACCTCGACAATATTCCATTAAGATAAGCACTTCCCATACATTATCACTAATTGAATTAACAGCACAGTCTAAATAACCCACGATGTTTTTGTGACCAGATAGCTCTTTCTGTAAAAAAAGAAACAAAATTTTTTAAACTGAAAAATATAATTTTAAACTTAAATCACTAGCAATGATTTGAAACCTAATATATTTTATTAATTTCTAAAAGAATTAGGCATGAATATGGAATCTGACATATTTCAATCAGTCAAAGGCTTCAATGGTTTCAATGCAGTTTATCTGCACGTGAATGTCATTTTCTCATTTTTTTTTAACATTTTTTCTGTGAGTTTTCTAATCAAAAAATATGTCTTTAAATGCAATTGGGGAAATGGTTCACTCAAGTCTCCCAAGGCAAATGTAGTTAGACGGTTCTCTGAGACTCAAAAATAAAATACTAGAACTTTACTTATATTTATTTGTATATTTTGGGGGGAGGTTGTTTTGGATTGGTTTGGGGTTTTGTTTTGTTTTTTCTTTTCTTTCCTTTCCTTTTTTCATTTTTGGTACCAGGGAATCAAACTCAGGACTTTGCATTTGTGAGGCAGGGGTGGCGCCACTAAGCTACATCCCCAGCCATGTTTTGTTTGTTTGTCTGTTTGTTTGTTTTTTGGTACCAGGGATCGAACTCAGGACCTTGCACTTGCAAGGCAGGCAGCACAACCACTGAGCTAAATTCCCAGCCCTGTTTTGTTTTTACAACAGCCTCACTATGTAGTTCAGGCTGGCTTCTAATTCACTATGTAATCTAAGCTGGCCTCGAACTCAGTAATTTTCCTACCTCAGCCTCTCAAGTACTGGTTATATATATTTTAAAAGAAATTAAGCACTAATATTAATGAAGTAACAATTCTCTTATTGTATTCCCTGTAAAAAAAAATATATATATATATGTGTGTGTGTGTGTGTGTATGTATATGTATGTATATATGTATATATGTATGTGTATATGTATATATGTATGTGTATATATATATATTGCAATTTATATGTAGCTATTTTGGAAAGTTCAAGGCCAGACTGAACAACTTAAAAAGACTCTGTCTCAAAATAAAAAATAAAAGGGCTGGGATGTAACTCAATCGTAAAGTACTTGCCTAGTATTCTCAAGGCCCTGGGTTTAATTCCCCAGCAGATCAGAGCACAACACTGCAGAGCAAGGAAGAAAAAAGAAAAAAAATCTAAGCAGATCTACTTGGAAATTTAATACTATTTTTAATGAATTTATAAGCATTATCATTAATAAATCTAAATATAAACGTGCTGTGCAATTTAAGATGGGGTAATGATCACTGAATACGTGAAGAGCTTATAAATAAGTAATGCATAGTGGGAGCTGGGTTATCAAAAATAGTTAGAAGACTGCAACTGTAAAAAGCTACTCTCCTCCTAAAATATCTTGTTCAAAAGCATAGCATTTGGGTGCTACTGCTGACTACATTCTACATGCCTCAAAATTAATTAAACAAATTGTTTTGAAAGGAAGAATTGTGGCACAATATACACTGAGATCCAGTTCAAGAACTTTGTAAGCGTCACCATTATGTTGGGGGAAATCTTTTTCACCACTTTTGCAAATATTTTACCTTGAAAAGACCAAACACCTAATCACTTCTAACCTAGCTAACAACAAGGACAATAAAAGACAAATTCAAAAAGTCATAGTTTAAATGTATTTATCTACAAACAAAAGGCATGTTACTGAAGAAGCATATACAAAGTTAAAAAATTACCGTCGGCAGTTCCATAAGTAGGTCTACTGACATTGACAGACAGTACTAGCAAATATGAGGAAAAATATATTACTGGCAAGAAAATAAAATGCCCTAGTTACTGTGAAAAGATTTGGAAGTTCCTCAGAAAGTCAAACATAATATCCCCACATGATCTAGCAATTGCATTCCTAGGTATATACCCCAAGAACTAAACCAGGTACTCAAACAAATGCAGGTACACACATTCATAGTAGCATTATTCACGATAGCCAAAACAGAAATAGCCCAAATATTCATGAAGTAGCTAACAAATCAGAATATCCACAATGAAATATTATTCACACAAAAAAAGAACAGCATACTTATGTACACTACAGTGTAGCTTAAACTTAAAAAATCACGCTACATGAAAGTACAGAACACAAATTGTATGACTCCATTTATAAGAAAAGGTTTTGAAACTAGATAGAGGTGGCAGTTGTAAAGCACTGCAAATAAACTACTGAATTGTTTACATTTAAAGTTGTATATTATACAAACTTTACCTCAATAAGACAAAAACACTGTGTGGGGGGGACAGATGTAAAAGTAAATGATCCACATGGAAAATAAGGAAAAGAACAAGTCATCCAGAGGACTAAGAACAAACAACACTAAGAAAGATTAAATTTTTTATAATTATTTTTAACTGTTTAACTCAAAGTCACAAAAGTCTTTAATGACTTATTATAAAATTTCCTTTCTTTTTTTTTTTTTGGTACCAGGGATCAAACTGCAAGGCAGGCAGCAGAACCACTGAGCTAAATCCCCAGCCCACTATTTTACTTTTTCTAATATTTAAATTTCCCCTTGCTTAAAAATGACTCATCATAAATTCCAGAATTTACAAGAAAAACAACCTTACAGTATGATTTTTAAAATGAACAGAAAACTAACAATGTTTGTGAGTTTAAATACAAACTGTGAATCTATAAAGTACACAAGAAAATGGTAAACACCAAATTCAGGACAGTAGTTTCTTTTGGATGAGGAAACGGTACAGGCCAACAGCTGGGAAGGAATCCAGAGAAGGCTTCATCAATAGCTGTCAGGTTTTATTTCTTAAGCTGGATGATGAGTAAACTTCGTATTTATCATATAATTCTTTATGTTTTCCAATGCTTAAAATATTCTGTAATTAAAATGCATCTAAGAAAAGAAAGAAAGAGCCTGGCACGGTGGTACATGCCCATAATCCCAGCAATTTCAGAGACTCAGGCAGGAGAAAGATAAGCTGGAGCTCAGCCTGGGCAATTCAGCAACTTAGTGAGATCCTTTCTCAAAATTTTAAAAAGTTGGGGTATAGCCCTGAGCAAAGGCCCCTTGGGTTCAATCTCCAGTACCACAAAACAAAAAAACAAGGAGGAGAATAGCAGTTTGCCTGTTGCTTGTTGAACTTACAATAGGGAAGGGAGAAAGAAGAGGGAAACAACATGGCTATACCTCACCTTAAATATGGCGATAAGAAATGAAGTACATATTCCAGACAATTTTCCAGTTTAACGAACTTCAAAGGTTTTCTAAGTGTGTATAAGCCAATACCCAATTTGCCTAAAAATATTACTCTTCACTTACCATAATTGTAATTTCCCTTTTACAAATGTTGAGGTCTGGCATGTTATTGACATACATTCGCTTCAATGCACATCGGATTCCACCATGAGTTCGCACCAGGAAAACTGTGGAGAACCCACCTAGAACAAGTACAAATGGATTAAAAAGAATCAAACTATTATCAAAATCATGTAACATCATTTTGGAGCTTAAGATCAGAGGAAAATAAACAAGGACTGTACTCATAACAAAAGTACAGAAAGCAGCTAATCAGCTGAAAGCCAAACACTGGCTTCCTGGGTCAATCACAAAGTAGCACTCATGGGATAATATAATTCTCAAATTTGAGTATGCTTTCTTGCAAAGCCTAATATACTAAAATTTCACTTTCTGCACAGGAATTACTTGTTAATGGTATACAGAAAATATTACTACATTGCCTACCCTTCTCTCTCTTCTCATAACAAAACACTGTTATTTAGTATTGAGACATCACTGAGCTCTGATGGCTAGATTTCTCCTTCAGATGGAGGAGATGAATCAACATTGCGCTGACTCAATCTTGGAAATCTCATTTCCCCTTATGTTAACTGATTTACAACTGAGAACATGACTAGTTCTGGCTACCATGACAGAAGGTGAAGTCTACTGGGACTGGAGGTAAACACTTTCCACCTAGAATAAAAGATGTAACAAGTTGTTCTTCTTTCCTGTTTCTGGATTGCATTGTGTAAGAATTTTATGATGCTTAGACATACTGCAGTCAATCTCTAGATGTGCTGAGCAGAAAGAAAATGACCCAGAACACTAACAGCCGAGCTAATAGTCATCCTCCCTCCAGAATTCACATGACACACAAATGTGCCCGTTACTGAATATGTCTGGACATTCTGTTAACTGCACCTGAGAAAGCACTATTACCTGAAGTATCATAGCTAGGTAGGTATTTAAAAACCATCACTTCTGTCACATCTAAAAAAAGATTTACACCTGACGTTTTCAAAGCTCATCTTGGCATAGAATATTCTAAAGCTTATAATTTTTAAATGGTATATAACTTTAATTAATTTATAGTCCTCATACAGCAGCAACCTGAGCATTAAATCGCCTATACTCCAGTTCAATACAAAGCAAAAGAAAAGTAAACCATTAGGGATTTAAAAAGTGGGAAAGGATAACTCCTAGGATTCTGCAGAATCATTTCATATTCGTTCCAGATTTTCTACATCCTACAATTGCAGCAAAAAAAAAAAAAAGCAAATTCTTATTGTGTAAAGCTGGATTTTCATCTAAACAGCAGAGGAAATCAAATCAACTATCTCACAAGGCAGTTACAGAAGATCTAGGATGACAATATTTGGAAAAGGTAATTTAGGTAAAACCTCTAACAATGCAGGGCTTCATTGTAAAAGAAGTTTATATCACTGATTTCATATGCAAATAGTACAAACAAACTGAAAAGTGAAGACCTACAAATGAACTGCCACAAACTACTGAAGTTTTATTTGGTTAAGGACTAAAAAGAATATATTTAGATAAAGAGCTGATACAAATACATATCAAGATAAATCATTTAAACAGCATCTGTTTTACCTAGAGCTGGATTATTCACCTAGGACAATAATGTCATGTGCCCTTAACATAGCTATCTTCAGAACTGGCTGGAGTCTGGTGTATATGTCAATTTACTCTGAACAGGTTCCACGTTCTGACCCTGAGTATATCTATTACGAAAATCTCCCCTACTTGTTATACAATTCTTCTGTGTGTTTTCAATTGCTTGTTAAATGGAGGGGAGAATAAGAGTTAACGCAAGTGGTCCTGATGCATAATTGAGCTATGTGGCCAAGAAAAAGAGAAAAAGTTCCTGGAGAAAACATGAATCTATATGTAAACATATTTATTTTTATCTATTTATGGAACAATGTGATTTTTATCCCTGTGAATTGGGAAAATAAGGAAACAGTATTAACTGGGTTTTTATCATAAAAATCATCCCTCAACTGAAAGTCATCTGATTCTACTATTCCTAATTTAGACAGATCTGGCAAAATGTTAAGTTTTCTGAATAAAGAACATGCATTCAACATTATGATTTGTACTTAAATACTGTATACACTGTTTGTTTGTTTTTTTGGTTTTTTTTTTGGTACCTGGGATTGAACTCTGGTCCTTGCGCTTGCAAGGCAGGCCACCGAACCGCTGAGCTAAATCCCCGGCCCAACAGTGTCAGTTTTGAGAACAGAATGATTTATTTGTTATTTCCCCAAGTACTATATTTTCCAGAATTTTCTGATTGTAGCTAAAATTTCTGAAGAATGCATTTAGTGGGAAGGAAACAGTTAAATCACTAGAGGAATTCAGAAAAAGAGTATACAATTTATTTGCTACCAGTTTTTTGTTTTGTTTTGTTTTGTTTTTGGTGCCAGAGATTGAACTAGGGGCCTTGTGCTTGCAAGGCAGGTGGCGGCACCACTGAGCTAAATCCCAAATTCCAAACTGCTACCAATTTTTTTTTCCTCTCCTTGAGGTTATTGGTACATTTTAGGTATACAGTACAGTTACATTCATCATTGGGGTCTTGTACCATTACATGACAGGTGTTGGTTCTTTTTTTCCCCTTGTCCCTGCCATCCCTTCACCCCCTCCTCCCCTTCCTATTTACAAATACTTTATTTCCATTTTTTCATTTTCTCATATATTTTTCCCTTATTACCCTTCCCCACCCTTCCCTCTCTCTACACCTTTAGCCCTTTTCTTCCTATTTCACACTGTCAATTACATTGCTACCAATTCTTATCTACCAAATTCTTTTGCACTTATTTTTCCTCACAGAAGTCTTTCATGACAATCCAATTTCATCACCCACACAAGTCCCATCACACGTTCCTAGAATGTTGATATTTCTGTTCAATCCATTTCATACCTAAGACTAGCAATAATCAAAAAGTCCATTTATTATATATTCCTATGTCCAATTCAATATTATAAAGGCATAGCTGCTATATCAACACTAAATTTAAAATTCTAAAATATGAGATGATGAGAGCATTATGAAACATTCTAAATATTCTCAAAATCTTATGAAAATAAAAAACTAATGACAGCTACTGATTTGACAGGATGGAAATACATGAGATTTTTTTAATTTATAAAAGTAAAGATGAAAAGGAAAATGACTGGTATCTTTTGCAATCTGTAAATTCAACAACTCAATACAGGAGTTCCTTCCCATTAGTAGGCACATACTCTATAAAAAACAGTCAATGATTCTCAGCCTCTAGGTTGTGGCTCTCATGTAAAACAATTCCACGGGACACCTAACTGAACTTTTCCCCCATCTTCTCTCCACTCACATAAAAGGTAAATCAGATTAAAAAGAAGAAGTGTCTTTGTCAAGGTAATTTTATACAGGTTTCCATCAGATATTTATAAAAATGTCTACTTTTTAAAAACTAGATACACGTTGGTGGGGTTCACACGCCTTTACCTCCATTGTTTATCCAATGTAGAATGATATGTAAATATTATAACAAATATCCTGTGAATCTGTATGATTTAAACCCTTTTTTAATACTTACATACTATTCCATACTATGTATATATATCCTAATTTAAATCATTTCCAAAGTGATGGCCAATAATGTTGCATTAAAACTTTTGCACAAACATTTTTTAAGATCTGGTGCTTTTGTTTCTGTCCAAAAGATTCCCAAGGTAAGTAAAAGGAAATGCACACTTTAAATTTGACACTGCTCTTTTGCATCCTGAATGGTTATAGCAACTTCCACAAGCAATATAAGAGCCAGCTTTCTTTCACCCTCATCAGAGATTATTACGGCAATTTAAATTTTGCCAATTTAACAGGGTTATCTTTTTCTTTCAATTGGTAGGAGGGTGTTCTCCTACTCTATTATTTATTCCTTTTCATCTATGGGTAGTGTCTCTTACAAACCAAAAAGCATATGTATAGTATATCTATACATATAAAAAAAGAGCAAGAGAATGCACACATTCAAGCTTTCTTAGGCACACATAATGTAACACAAAGGAGGAATGTTACTTTTTCTTTACACATCTTTGTATGTTACACTAGTTTTTTAAAGAAATGAAAAAAAATCATTTAAATGAACAAGAAAACTGCTCATCACCTTAAAAGAGAAATCAAAGAGAAATGGGACATAACTTTTAAGAATCTCAGCAGTGGAACTGCTACAGAGTAAAAAGCAGCATATAAAAAGAAGTCACACAAAATCAACGTATTTCTCACTAAGATATTGTGGCTGCAGCATTATCATTTACCTTTGTGCCTCCCACATGATGACAATGGGGGGGGTATATAGCTGTAATCCTAGCTACTGAGGTGGCTGGGGCAGGAGGAGCAAAAATTCAAGGTCAGCCTGAGCAGCTTAGGGAGACCTGTCTCAAGATTTAAAAAATAAAAAGAGCTAGAGATACAGCTAAGCCATCCCTGGGTTCAATTCCCAGTAAGAGGTGGAGACAGGAAGTTAGTTAAATCACAAACCCACAAGATCAAAAAGAATGGAACAGACAAGGGATTCTAACAAAATTCTGCAAGATGAAAATCTCACAGACACATATGAACAGACAGTACAGACAAAAACCATGCTAAAGAGCTGATAGGAGCAAATGGGGAGGAAGGAAGGATGCACAAGAAGGAAGCCCACTCTAGTGACATACACCTAGAGACATCAAGAGTTAGAGGAGCAAGAGTGGCAATGACAAAAGAAGAAGACTGACTCCAGGTCTTCATAGAAGCAGTCAAACTTCTAGGTTCCCTACTTCATTCTTGACAGTCACATTAATATTCACTCATGAACACGACTAGTTAAAATAGCAGTGTGTATGTCTGTGTATATAATATGGTATAATAGATATTATTTGGGGGAATGAAGATGGGAGAGGGGAAAGTAAGTGTAAGTCCTAAAAACCAAAGAATTAAGTAAAAGCCTGCAGACTGAAAGAAAATACACATTTCAACCCAACTTGATAGTTCAACTACAAAAACACAGAGCCATACAGCCAATTTATAGAGAATTTCTCTTCCAGAAAATTGAATGGGAAAAAAGGCAGATGCTGAAATATGAGTCACACAATGAAAAAGTACCTATCTGACTCA